AGAATCGGCGGAATCAACGGTTTTGTGAAAAATCGGCGATTCTACTATTTGGAACCACCAGAGTCCTATTTTTTGGCCTAATTTGGAGAGTCTTGGGCGATTCCCGATATGGATCGCCCGATTCCGGATTGAGTCACTGATTTTTTAAACCTTAATATAAAAGAACAAAATTATACAAGGTTGCAACCTTAAAAATGTAGAATTAAGGAACACCTAAAAAATCCATCATAAAAGGTTATTTTTAATGTTGGGAAACCCTCTAATTGATCATCTCAAACATTGAGATGTATAAATATGAAAAGAAAAACAATAAATCATAAAAGATTGTTTTAATGTTGGAAAACCCTCTAATTGATCATTTTATATTGGAAAACCCTCTAATTGATCATCTCAAACATCGACATGTATGAATATAAAAAGAAAAAAAGATTTTGAGTCCCAAAAACAGTGTCTTGCAACACATTATCTGGACCGTCCATTTTCAAGATTTTCATGTGTTTATGGATCTACTTTTGGATTTTAAAATTTTATAATTAGATATCGAAATAGATTTTCATCCCATCCAAAAAATTTTATAATAAGAATTTGGAGGTGTGTCTTAATTTGATTGTTTTGAGATTCCAACCTTATAGAAACCACACCCTTTTAGTTTAGGGTGTAGTTGCAACCTTAAACATTCCAATTAAGGCGCACCTCCAAAATTTATCATGACATGTGTTTTTGGTGTAAAAAATTCTTAGGATTATTTGAAAATCTATTTTTATATCTAATTATAAAATTTTAAACTCCAAACATGGTTAAATCTAGTAGATCTATAAACATATGAAAATCTTGAAAATCAACGGTCTAGATAATATACTGCAAGATGTACTATTTCTGGGACTATATATATATATATATCGATGTTGAGATGATCAATTATAGGGTTTTTCAACATTAAAACAATCTTTTCCATTGCATTTTTGAGGTACATCTTTAATTCTACATTTTAAGGTTGCAACCTTATATAAATTTTTTCCTTTAGTTTATGCTTTATATAAATTGCTCTTGAAAGAAAATACCTTAATTAATATTTATTTATGGGTAATTTATCAAAAATTTATATAAATGTCAATCTGATAATGTATAACAAAGGTGCACCTCAAAAACTCTACAAAAAAGGTTGTTGTGATGCCCAAAAACCCCCAGATTGATCATCTCGGCCTTGAGATGTATGGATGTAAAAAAAAAAAAAATTATGTCCTGAAAATAGTGCATATTACAATCATTATCTGGACCATCTATTTTCATGAGTTTCAAGTATTCATGGATCTATTTGATCTATACTATTTCTGAAACTTTAAATTTCATAATTAGATACGAAAACAAGATTTGAGGCTATCACATGGATTTTCTACACCGAAATAGCACCTTTCAACAACATGTACACGTTGAAGGCCGTGAATTTATACAAACCACACCCATTATCAAAAAACATATAAGAACTCAACTATTTAGTTTCTTTTTTTTTTACCGTAACTATTTAACATTTTAACCATATTTTTTAAAAAAATACTCATTAAATACACATGGCCATGAGTTAGAATAGTTAAAACAGAATAAACTTTTAAAAAATAAGGTGTGTTGGAAATTCTTTCATCTCTTGTAACAAATATTCGAGCATGTTCGTGTCTGTAATCAGTATTCAAGAGGTTGGTTGTGTGTTTAGGTATAGGGTATATTGATTAGTATGGAGAATGAATAGTACATTAATAAAAGAAAGGAAAATTGTACGACTACAACTCACGCGTCTTAGTGTCGGTACACGGTATGGAATGAAATAGCATTTATTAGGTAAGTACTATCTACCATACGGAGCTTGAACTTCTATAGAAAGAGAGCGCAACATGTTCTTTTGCAGGCCTATTTTAGAGAGACAGTTGTGTGACAATTTTGAGAGAGACCATTTACCTTATAGGTAGTCACATTAATTTTGATCATTGGATATGAAATTGGATGGCTGCAATTATTCCATTGACCAAACTCAAATTTCAAAAGAATTTTACTTGAATTTTTTGACAATCCAAGCTATCAAACTTCACATCGGAGTAATTGTGATTACTTTGTATCAAAGGTAAATGGTCTCATTGTATGCAATCCTGTATAAGAGAGAACAATATGTTTTTTATTTTTTGTGTGGTTAACCATAAATAATCCAATTAAGGCATGCCTCTAAATTTTATCATATATGTAGTTTTGCTATAAAAAATTCTGAGGATGGCTTGAGAATCTATTTTTATCTCTAATTATAAAATTTTAAACTTTAAAAATGCTTCAAATCAAGTAGATCTATAAACACATAAAGTATTGAAAACAAGCGGTCCAGATATTGTGTTGCAAGATACACTATTTCATGACTCGAAATCTTTTTTTTTATTTTTTATATTCATATATCTTGATGCTCAATTTGAGGGTTTTCCAGCATCCAAAAACATTTTATGATGGATTTTTGAGGTGCATATTTAATTCTACATTTTAAGGTCGCAACCTTATATAAAGTTTTTCATTTCTTTCTAGAACAATTGTTTCATGCAGGGCTGGACCACATTTGTACAATATACGGTCAAGATGTATAAAGCATTCATCTTTAAAAACAAATGTAAGGCCTAGGCGTTATCAAAACAAAATAAAGCCTCACCTTGAGTCCTCATCCAGAAAGCACTTTCAGCAACTGAAATCTCCATGATGACACTATAATGAATTACCAACACCGACAATAAAATTTGAAACTAAAAAAATGGTACAGATCTTACTTAAGGCAACATGGATGGTCCAGATAATTTGTTACAATCTACATTTATTTCAAATCTCAAAATTCTAATTTCTTTTCACAACCCTAATGTTCAAGCTGAGATGATCGATGTTAAGGTTTTTTGCAAAATGGATGGTCCAGATAATTTGTTACAATCTACATTTATTTCAAATATCAAAATTCTAATTTTTTTTCAGAACCCTAATGTTCAAGCCATGATGATCGATGTAAAGGTTTTTTAATGCTTAATTGTAACTTGTGATGAGTTTGTAACTTTTGATAAGTTATGAGACGAGGCTTTATTTATTTTGATAGCGCTACAACCCTATCAAGCCATTTTCCTTTAGAGAGAGGGCAACCTGTTTTGTTGCAAATTTATTGAGTTTGTAACTTTTGATGAGTTATGAGGAGTTTGTAACTTTTGATGAGTTATGAGGCGAGGCACTACAACCCTGTCAAGCCATTTTCCTTTAGAGAGAAGGCAACCTGTTTTGTTGCAAATTTAGTTTTTAAAATAATAAAAGAGGGAATGTACCTTTTTTTTTTTTTGCAAATTTATATTTTTTAAAATAATACAAGAGAGAAGCAAATTTATTTTTTAAAATAATAAAAGAGAGAATCTACCTTTTCTTTTCGGTAAATTCAGTGGGGAAAATAGGCCCTAAACTGTTTTTCAAATAATTAGGTTTTCGAAGTTATCAGTGGGCTTAGAGAATACCACGTGCGACGCGTGCTACCACCGGGAGTTTGATAACTCGTTGTAAGTTAGAATAAATTAGTTTCAAATAACAATAAGTATTTAACATTTTAATATTAAACAGTCGTAATTCTTACTTTTACTTGAAAAGAAAAATTTAAAAGTGGGATTTATCCAAGGAAACCTGCTTATATAACGTGCATACGGTACTCCTACAGGCGCAAACTATACATCTGTACAGGCAGGCAAAAGGCCCACTTGACAAGGTCTTCTCGATCTAAAATTTTGGATCCATTTTATAATAAGTATTCAATAAAATAAAATAGAATAAAACATGTTCAATACGGAGGTTTCTACGGAGGTGACTTAACCTATTAAAGACATAAAATAGAATAAGGCATATACAATAAGTATGTTTAAGTAAAAAATTGTATGCCTCAAAGTGATTGGTGATGCT